CCACAGTTTTTATAAAAATTTACCTGTTGAAGGAAACACTAGACAAAGCGAAGGCAATAAATCCCTTGCTGACGAAGAAGAACATACCGATGAACCTGTTTTTGTCTAAAATGTAAAACATTTTCAGGCATAAAATGGTTCAAGTCCAAAAAATTATAAATAATCGATTTTAAAAATCATCCCAGTTGTATTTGAAGTTATTTTAGTTTACATCTGTAAAATGTAAGGTATAATAAAGTATTTCGTTCATTTTTCATCTTGGACTTGTTGTGTTTTAATTAATAAACCTAAAAAAACTTTGACCTTCATTTTCTCCATAATTAGTTTGGTGGACTTGATCCACTTCACCTCTGAGCCCTTCAATTATTCGCTGAGCAAACTGAGCATATTATGGGCCTCCTGTTAATTTGTCAACAAAAGGGGCTAGAAGGAATGAGTGCGAGAATAGCCTTCTGCAACGTGAGTTTCATACTATTTTCTCGATTTAGGAATTTATTCTAAATTTTTTAAAAAAAATTTGTGGTCGCTGTTAGTTGGGGATTTTTTTTTTCGCAAAATATGTTCGTTGGTAACACTTACTTACCGACCAATTGAAAGGTGGATTTTATTATTTAACAAGGTATGACAATTTCGAAGGTGCCGATAGGTATGCTTTGAAAACTAAATGTCACTAAAAATCGTTGAAGAATGATCTTCATTCTTCAATGATTTTACGTGCGAGAATAATGACATTCTCACACCAAAATCAATAATAAATATTCTTTCACTAGTGATGGAATGAAGGTAGTCGTAGAAAAAACTCTTTTGAATAATTTTGCATTTTTTTTATTGACATTAACTCTACGCAGGTTGGTCTATCAACTGTGGATAACTAAAAAATATATTGTAAATTAATAGGTTTCTGTTTTCGTTCGTTTCTCCTTTCGAGCCCATATACTCTACACTTCAGCCTTGGAGGCTTTTTGTGATTCTACTCCTTTCCATTTATACTTGGAGACTTGATAGTTCGCAGCAGTCGACAGTGTGGACGACATATCGTTCCGTACGTATCAAAACATTCTGCCACCCAATCTAGCCATAGCCCGGAAACCTGACCAATCAAATTCGATGTGGCTATTTTGAATGGCATAATGATGCTACATGCGCTGCATCAGGGGTCAGAATGTTGGGACGATGATGGAACTATTTAAAGGGTCAAGATGTTATTGCATGGGCTAGATTCAGGGTCAGAATGTTACAGGCGATAGAGCATTAGTATTACATTTAACAAGCAATGTTTGATGTTAAAAAATCTATAACTGTCTTTTTTACGTGTTGTACAATTCAGAAATTTAGATTTTATTTGTGTTTCCCATGGATGTTTTTTATGAATATATTGATTAAATTGTAAGTTTTTTTATTGAAACGGAGGAATTAGGAAATATATCCATTTCGGATATAAGGGGTCATTTAATTTAGATTTAGCAAAATTTGAATAGGTAGGTACCTTGGTACCTAATAATTAAAAATATTTATGCAATTTTATAATCCAACTATTAACTTTTCAAAGTCTTTAATCCAAATTTTTATGTTGTTTTCGGATAACAAGTGTGCACCAGGGCCGGCTCCAGGACCCGTGCAGCCTGTGCCCCTGCACGGGGCGGCAAAATCGAAGGGCGGCAAAAATCTCGGGGAAAATTGTTGCCTGCCCTGTAAAAAAATTAAATAAAACATAACATGTTCGTTTTTTGAACTCTGATTATTTCCAAACGATCTGAGCACAGTTCTAATGACTGAATAAGTACGCAACTTGTTCTGCGCAGTTCCATGATGGTTAGCGAACAGTTTGAAAAATGAGAACCCGAAAACATCTATCGCTAGTAGTTTCACGCGTCCGCAAGCGATTTGCAGGTTATGTTTTGGTGTTATTAGGTTTGTTCGGACTTAGTTCAGAATCAGTTCTGAATTGAACTGCGCTTGCGCATTTGTTCATATCGAACATAAATAAACAAATGTGCATGCGCAGCTCAATTCAGAACTGATTCTGAACTAAGTCCAAACAAACCTAATTGTTATTTGAGAATTGCCGATAATTGTAGGTTGCATTAAAATAGTAGGTATAGTAATAAAATTATTCCATTAAAAACTTAAAAATAATCAAAATATAATATATATCATACAGACTTGTGCGGTACTCGGGTAAAGGTAAAAGTACTCTTCACTTTTACTCTAAGTACATTTTGAGTTACTCGGTATTCAGGCCACGATACTTTGTGAATTATGTAATTGTACCTAATTTGTACTTGAACTGTTTAAGAATATAAAAAATACCCGGTAAATTTTATTGTACTGAGTAAATTTCAAAATACCCGAGTACATCCATTTATACTCGAATACATATACCAGAGTATTTTCATTGTTTTCGAATACATTTGCAGTTACTGCGTAAAATTTTTGGACTCTAAGTACATTTATTTGGCCACAGGAACATTTCCAGACGAGACCTGTTTCCACAGAAATCACTTACCTCGCCAGTCAAGAAAACTTGTTGGCGATTTGCACCAATCAAAAACGCTTTAACTGGTTTGTGATTTCTGTGAAATCTGTGGCTTCAATTTTCTGGCATTTCTTGTGTAGCGTACGCATGCGTAGCATTCGTTCCGTTATTCGTTGTGATTTGCAAACGAAAATCTTGAACTTTTCTGTGCACTATAAAGATGTGCCCGAGAACGTAAATTTGAAAAATCTGAGCCCTTATAAACTCTGGACTCTGGTTAACCCAACCAAATCGTGAAATTGCTGAACTGATTTATAGTAAACCAAAATGTGTTTTTCAATTTTTGATGTGTGAACATCTATACCGGCGGTTTGAGGGTGAATTCTGGGAAATGGAACGGAGTGTGAAAGGGGATGTGGCGTAATAACCCATGCGCAGTGATTAGTGCGCAGTAACATCAGCGCTTGCGGCCTAAGGTGGTATTAGACTTTCATATCAATAATCAAGGGTGGTTCAAAAGAGGAGGTGCGTAACAACTTTAAGACGTCATTTGATATGCGGTGGCATTGTGCGGAATGTATTCATAAATGTACTCGGTACTTTGAGTACTTGAATACTTCTGATTGTACTCTGTACTCGAGTACATTTTGAGCAAAGTACCACGGTACCCGAGTAGATTTTGTCTGTACTAGAAACAGCTCCGATATCATATAAGGACACTGAACAAAATTAAAATCAAAAGTAAGTTTAGCAAATAGGTAGTACCGAGAGGTACCTAAGAGGGGCGGCAAATATACCTTTTGCACGGGGCGCCGAAATGTCTGGAGCCGGCGTTTGCACGATAAGTGTTTTCACTCACATTAGAATAAACAAACGTTGTGGGTAGTTTTATCGTATCCATCTCCATCATGAATAAATCTTAAAATATCTTCGCATAAATTTCAAAAGAGCAATAAGCGGAAAATAAACAAAATATGCGGCACTTCTAACGGACAAGTGCAACAGGCCGTCCCAACATCCCAACATTCTGACCCCTGATCTAGCCCATGTAGTAACATTATGCCGCTCAAAATAGCCACATCGAATTTGATTGGTCAGATTTCCGGGATATGGCTAGATTGGGCGGCAGAATGTTTTAATGCGTCCCGTACGCATATAGGCAGAATGTACAACGGCTTAGCAATAGGCGTTCAAAGTCGAGCGCTGATTGGCTATCGCTAATACGATGTACAGGGTCTGTTTCTTATAATTAGTGCGGCTTCTACAACTTGAACGAAAAAAAAAAATGTTAATTTCAAAAGTTGTAGGGTTTTACCTATATTATCTTTTGCAAAAGTCAAAATGGACAAATAACAGCAACTGTCAAAATGACAAATACTTGCATTTCTTAAATGAAACGCCCTGTATATTTTTGGCAAGAATGATTGATTTTTTTCTTCTGTTTCCAAATATTATACATATACAGGGTGATTCCAAAATGGCGCATAAGCTCTCCACTACATCATAGGGGATCCTTCAGGGTGGTGATATGAAGGAGTAAAGCTGAGAATTCAACTTTTTTATTTCCCTTTTTTTTTAATTGCGATATTCCCTATAAAATTCCAGATGTCTTTTATTGATCTATGGAAAAAAAGATCACATTAGTTGGATTATAGCTTTTAAAATGAATTTTGCAAACTGTAAAATCTCCACTTCTGAATCTAAAAAAATGAATCTGGCAACGTTACCTGCTAAGATATTAATTAGGTAGGTAGTACCAGTTAAGGTAATAAAATTAGGATAGGCACAAGGTTCATTATTAGAACAGATGTATAATACGATATAGGTGGAAGTATTTAAGATGTTGTCAATTTTACCACTCCGTGTTCTTCTAATAACTTAAGAGTAAGTTTATATTATTTTAACTATTTTTCTGGGGTACCTTGAAGGGTTACCCACGACGTAGTGGAGAGCTTATGCGCTATTCAAGTTAAAAATTACATTAAGTAAGTCTCACCATTGATATAAAGAACCGGCAACATACCTTATTTAGGTTAACGTGAATGTATTTTTCAAAGATAAATAGCGTAGAAACAGCTGAACCAAATATTAACATATGTGGTATATTTGGAATCAGAAGAATAAAATCAATCATTCTAGTCAAAAACATACACGGCGTTTCATTTAAAAAATTTAAGTGTTTCTTCTGTCATTTGCCTATTTTAACATGTGTAAAAGATAATATAGGTGAAACCCTACAACTTTTGTACTTAACATTTTTAAAATTTTTTTTTCGTTCAAGTTGTAGAAGCCGCACTAATTATAAGGAACAGACCCTGTACCTTTTGCCCGGACCATTAAGGCAAAACGTGCAGCGGACTAACAATAAGCCTTTAAAGCCTAGCGCTGATTGGGTATTGCCGAGGCTAATTGAAAAAGTGATACCGAAACGAAAAAGATATTTGGCTGAAAATGTTGAAAACAAATTTACCCCACGCAAAATCGATTAAATGGAAACGGATCAAAAATCCTAAATTATCTCGCTCTAATTAACATTATCAATTTTTCTTATTAAATTAGAGGTGTAATGCAAAAGTTGGATAAACGCTAGATTAAATAATTACAAAACATCTAAATCAGGAGGCACGTATTGTTGGTTTTACTCGTCTGATAACAATCAAGAAAATACAGACTTACCCAAACTAACCCGTCCGCCCAAAGCGATTTTTTTTTTAAGTTTTACACGTGACTTCAAATTGACTTCACATAAATTAAACACGTGCAACTGTCAAAATGTTCATCTTTTTGCTCTTGGAGCTATTTTCCAAACTTGGGGACAAAAACCTATCTACAATTAACAGCACCATAGTGCACTATTTCTAAATTCAATTTCCAATGATAGTAATAGTAAATCAACAAAATAAATTAAAATGATACGACAGACTCATCTGTGTCAAACCGCTTTCTATTGTAAAATAATGTAAAACAAATGAAAATTATAATAAAAGTACAACTCACACTAATTCAGGTCACCGTTCCAAAGAAATGCGAAAAACAGGTCGATTTTCATGAAGTAATCCATTCTTTTTTCATCGAATTCTTGTTTTGTGTATACAACAAGAAAATCATAATCCGAACAAAAATTATGCGGCGCTTAACGTATTCATATATGCACTGAAAATATAAGCGCAATATCCCGCAAAAGTTAATCGTTTTCTTTACATCTTACGGGCTTATCTTGTGCACAAAACCACACGAAGGTCTTACAATAGAACTCCAGAAAGCACACCATTATCTTCTTAAGTTGTTAACATATTTAACTTCAGTAACTCTATTAGACCCGGGCTTTATTGAGGCAGTTCACGAACTTGGTTCTAAGCTACTGTATGCTGTTACTATCAAGATTTCCAACTTCGTTTACAGTTTATTGATAATATTAAAGCATCTATTGTATAATCTCGTGTTTAGTGATACATCCTCCCTCTAGTCTCTCTGTGAATCTTGTTAAAACTTTGCATTAGTTAATGCATACCTATTTCCTGTTTGATAGTAGATACATAGGACAGGATTGCACAAATTGTTACTTGTTTATAGTTTAGCCGTTATGCAGATTCTTTGTGAAATAATAAAGGAGCGCGTTAAAATCCTTACCTGTGATGGTTATTCCTAATCCGGGTCCTCTTTTGGCCAATCTTACAGTAAACACACCGCTGGATGGAACGATGGTATCAGCAACGTCAAATTCCGAAGTTATCGTTATCGTTCTGCCGCCAGTGGCGTCAGATCCCATTTCCAGAATCGATGTTATCTCTTGTAAAGTTAAATTCGTTTGGTGGTTTACTGAAATGATTCTATCTCCGACTTGTAAGCAGCTACATCTGAAAAAAAACGAAAAATTTTAATTTTAAAATGCTTTAAATCAAATCCGATTTCATATCTCAGTGATTCCTGGATGATTTCCAGTATTTTCATCCAGATATGTGCTAATAATGCGGGTCTGCAATTAGTGTCAGGAACTTCAAATCCATCACCGTGTAATACCGGTGCCATTTTCTGAAATGAATGTTAATTATTTCCGATTTAGTGGATAATTAGGGCGTTAATTTTACGCAAAAAAGGACCTGCAAAATTGCTGACTATTTACGAATAAATTGTAGGTAGCAGCATAATTAGTGTCAAAATCAACTTCACATTATTCACTTATAACAGCTAATCCGGTTTATTATCCAACATTACCTCCGCAATTTATGTTAATTTTAATGATTTTGTGGGGTTAAATATCCATCCTAGACTATTTTATGTTGTTTTTAGTAGTGATTTGTGAGAAAATGGTAATGATTGTATTTTTAGGTGAATAACTAGGGATCCAAATTAAAATTCTACAGTTTAGATTTTCATACAGATTAATTTCCCTTCTTTATGAAGGTAACGGGTTTGTTATAAGTTATAACTTTATGCAAACATTATTAATTCCGTTATTCGGTATTCGATATGAATAATGGCTTACGATGAATAACTATTCCCTATTCATCTATATTTTAATGTGTGTATATGGAAAATTTTGCTTAAATTTGTATTAATTACATGAAATAATGAATTTTGTATTTGTTATACGAGTACGATGTGGCAAACATTGAAGGTTCACTTATTTTGGGAGGAAGGCAAGAGCAATATCTCTTCCAAATCCAGTAAAACGTCTCGAATTGCTGTGATCGACTATATTCCACTTCTCAAGCGTTTTTAAAGGCAAATTTATACCCCTTCGCTTTTTCAAGAGGAGGCCAATTTTAGCATACAAGATTTGCCTGAAGGCTGGATATTGGTGAGACAAATTCTTTTTGACTTGTAAAAGGGCAAGAAGAGACTCTAACAGAAACTTCTACCTTTTACTTATATAAGCCAAAAGCCAATCTTGGCATATTATAGGATAGGTTGTAATGAAAATGACAAACTGGTCATTTTCATTACAACTTATCAAATGTCCACTGTGCATGCGCACTTGTGCAGGTAGGGTGTCTCAACCAATAGGAAGGCTGGTTATTTAATGTCATTTGGTATAGAATTCTTTTATTTCTGTATTTAGAAGTCAAGTTATTATACTTAGATTTATCTTAACCTAACTTTCAATTCTGCCATGTTTTAGGAATATAAATTTTATTATTCATAATCAATAATCTGATTTGAAGTCAAGGTTGGACAACATGTTCTAAATTTGAAATTATTGAGTGAGTACCTACATCGTCGAAAATCGATCAATTTTTAACTTGGGTCCTATTTGAGGGTTTCTTTTATATCTCCTAACCATTTAACCTAACTTTTGATTTCATAAAGGTGCAAGTTGATTTTATTGAATTTATTCTTTAAGCAGAAGCTGACCATATTTATCAATACAGTTTCCTTCTTCCATGGGGTGTCCATTTAATTACTAGTTTAGGAAGCCGTTAGTGATCTCAATATATTCTTTTTCGACAATCTAAGGCGCTTCTGGATCGATTAAATATTCTTCCCTGTCTTCTTTTAACGCTCTTTCGTAGGGTTTTTTCCACTGACCCATCTGTATTGGCTGTATGTGGGTTTTGGTAGATATGTCCTTTCTTAGAGAACAAATTAGGTTCCAAGCCTCCGAAGATCAATACAATTTTCAATCAATAATTTTTTTCTTCAATTAGTGTTCTGGAAACCTTAATCTTTCATATTTTCATTTCATGATAATGATATGGCCAGTGACTGTTAATGAACTTATAAGGCAAGTATATTGAGGTACTATTTTTTGAAATTATTTAATACTTGATTTTTAACTGTGAAAATATATTAAACTATTTTGATTTGAATTTTTTTTTTAGGTGTTTTATTGGTTTAACCTACCTATGTCAAGATTTGGTTGAGTTATATGCCTCATTTATTTCCTTTTCAGAATTATCAATTACCGTTTGCTGATTATTTTTTTTAGGCGTGTTTCTGAATTTTCACACTTCAATATTATATGTAATTTAATTATATATTTTTCAAATTCAGTGGCACCCTTGCCATTCTGTACCTATTAAACTATTGTCCCACCCCCAATGACTATTCACTGAGCGAACTGAGCATATTATGGGCGTCTTGTCATAGTTATTTATGTATCAAAGGAGTTATAAGGGTGTTTAGATCTAAAGCCACACTGTGTTTCGGGTAGGGTTGCTTCGGCTAGAGGCAGAAGTCGGTTGAAGAGAATCCTGGCAAGATATTTCTCGATAATTTCCACACTGTGCCTTATTGCTTTTTTTAATATGGTGATGATAGAGGTTTCTCGCAAATTTGAGGAAATTGTCCCGGCCTTCTATGTCTTACCAATGAAGTTGAAGTTGTTAACATATTTAAGGTCGGTAACTCTAATATATTCGGACTTTATTAATGCAGTTCACGAACTTTGTTCTAAGCTACCTACTGTATACTGGTACTATCAAGATTTCTAACTTCGTTCACAGTTTATTGATAATAATAAACAAGGGCGTACCCAGGATCTGAAATAGGGGGGGGCTGACCAAAAAAAAAAAACAATGGATTTTGCATTTCTCTTTTTAATTACTAAATTTCGACATAACTCGCTTAATTTTTACTTCAATAACAATTTTCTTGGATTTGTCGCAAATTTATTTAAAACTTGATTTTCAAATTGCTCTCGATTTGATTTAATTAAATCACGATGCAAACTCATGAGACATAATCCTGTTAACCTTTCCTCTCCCATGGTACTTCTCAACCAAGTCTTCACTCTTCGAAGAGTACTGAAGGATCGTTCTACAGTGGCCGTGGTGCATGGAATTGTGATTAAAAAAGTGCCTGTTTTAGGATGGGATAAAAAACATCGGTCTCGTCGAGAAGGTCAGTTATTTCGACGTCTTTTAGCTGGTCCTCAGTTGACTTTTTTTCCTTCCACAAATTATACCATAGGTCCATTTCCGCAGTAATATCGTCCAATTTATAAAACTGGGTAAAATATTGTGCATTTTGTTCTACTTGATTGGTTTCCATGTCGAGCATATATAATGGATGTATTTTTGTTAAGGCAAACGCTGGAGTATGTTCTTGAGAAAAGCGAATATTTAAAGAGGCTATAATTGAATCCAGATACGGTATAATTAACGAACGCTTCCAGTAGTCACTATCACAGTCTGATGGAGGATTGTTTCTATGTATTTGCCTCTTGGTAATTCGAGGGATAGAAATTTCTATTTCCAATTCCAATGCAAAGTCTTGTGCTTTTTTAAGTACTTCATCAATAACTAGGTCGGCATCTTCACGGTTTTTCTTCAGAACGTTAAGGATTACGTTCAGATGTTCTTGCAACTTAATTAAATCCATAGTTTTTGCTTGCAAGGCATTAACAACCGGCTCCACTAAAGCTGAATATTTTGCAATTATAGTTAGGGTAACAATTAGTGAGGGTTTGGTAACGGCGGCATGCAACTGGTACGCAGATTTTCTCGTGGCGTAGTTTCCTTCGATAGATAGTTTTTCAAGTGATTTCACAATTTCGAGGAAATTTTGTGCAAATAAGCGAATACTTTTGTATTTTTCAGACCATCTAGTCTCACACAGTCGTGATAGATTAGGAGCGGAACTTCTGCGAGTGGTGGATTCCCTGAAAAAGGTTATAACATCCTTTACGGTGCCAATAGTGTTTCTAATTTCCGGAACATTATTTGCATCATTGACAACAAGATTTATTTTATGGTTTGAGCAATGAAAAAATCATGCTCGTGTGTACTTTTTCCTTAAAATCGCTTGTACGCCACCCTCTTTGCCCGCCATCGTAGCGCTGCCATCAAAACCAAGTCCTACACAATTATGCGGTGAAAAATTATAGCTAACTAAAAAATTGTCTATTGCATTGGCAATTGCTGGGGCATCCTGTGCTGTCAGCTCCACAAAACCCACAAATTCTTCTCGGACTTTTTTTTAACTTTCATCATAGAAACGCAAGCCAATGGATAGCTGCTTCTTTCCTGAAACGTCGGCTGTCTCGTCGGCTAAAACTGTGTAGAACATGGCTTTCTTTGCATCATTTATCACACTCTCCCTAATAACTTCGTCACATAAATATATGAGTTGGTTTTGTATTTTTGGTGACGTATAAACAGCATTTCTACGACACTTTTCCAGGTGATTCTTTAATTTGATGTCGCCCGACTCAACTCGCAAATTCATTAGATCGAAAAAAACTCCCTCATCTGCTTCTTTTCCTCGTAGAGGCATATCGTGTGTGCCACAGAATACTACACAGGAAATAATAGAGGCCAATATTTGCTTGTTCTCTTCGATTGTTTTTTGGTGGAAACTTTGAACTTGAATGTCCACAGGTATATTTTCGAGAAAGGCCTTTGCAGCAGCAGATGCAGATTTGTGAAAGTTATTGGTGGCATGTTTACGACAATCTTCGTGCATATTCCTAAACTTCGTAAATGGTCTGATCATAAATGAACCTAACACTCCCCTTACTGTGCCAGTAGAAGGAGGAAATAAAACACAGTGCTTACACAGAGCACCCTTTAGTCGCTTGGAATACACTAACCATGGTGTGTATTGATCTAACCAAGCATAATTAAATTTTCTTCGCAAATGACTGGCATCGGCTGCAAAATCGTAATTCTTGGGTGGAACCCACGGATTTTTTAACAACTCTTTTTTTCTTTCCATCGTCAAGTGAAATGTTTGTCCTACATAACGACCCAAGTCATTTTCGTGGCAACCATCATTCTCTTCAATTTCGGGATTGACTACAGAGCCAGATGTTGACGGTAAAGATTCTAAATTAGGAGCAGTGACTTTCTTAGATCTCAAAGAATTTAGCGGTTGCTCAGATTCAGATTCAGTTTTAGATGGGCTTGGCGATGAA